TTCTTCCTCCCAGGAGCCTGTGAGGAATAAACAGCAGGGCAGAGGACTCCCGCGCTCGGACGCGAGTGAGCTCACGTCGGCTCAGATCCCGCGTGCCTCGCCCTCACCAAATAGAGAGGTTTCCCTCATCCTCTTCAGACAGCATGTCATTGGCAACCTCGGACGCAGAGGAGCTGTCGGGCTCTGTTGCTGACCCCGCCCCTTTGCTGTCATCCGAGCCCAGCGCCACCAAGGTCGGGATGGATGCCAAACTTCTCCGTATCCTTTCAAATGCGGTCGAAGAGCTGGGTTTAGAGTGGTCTTTGCTGGAGGAGCCCTCTCACAGCCGTCGGGATGAATGGTTCCTGCCGGGGCGCCGTCAGACCTCTCACCAGCGTTCCTCTCCGTTCTTCCCAGAGGTCCACGATGAGCTCATCAGGTTGTGGCGCGCCCCCTACTCTGCATGGTTGCACCAGCAAGTCCACCTCTTAATGGCTCAAGAAAAACAAAATGAAGGTTCTGGAGTGGCCAAGTCAAAGGTGTATATAACTTTCTTCTTTCAGATGGACTTAAATCCGATTGAGATGCTGTGGCATGACCTTAAACAGTCCATTCATGCTCAAACCCTCCAATGTGGCTGAATTAAAACAATTCTGCAAAGAAGAGTGGGCCAACATTCCTCTAAAGTGATGTGAAAGACTCATTGCCAGTTATTGCAAACGCTCGGTTGCAGTTGTTGCTGCAACCGCTACAACCAATTATTAGATTTAGGGGACAATTATTTTTTCACGTAGGGCCAGGCAGGTTTGGACAGCTTTTTTCCCTTAATAAATGAAATCATTATTTCAAAACTGCTTTTTGTATTTACTTGGGTTATCTTTGTGTAATATTACAATTAGTTGGATGATTGTAATATAGGCTATATACACATTTCCCTAAACTACATTTCTGCGGCTATTAATATGTTTAAATGAAAACGAAAGGAGGCAGTGGTGTTTGATATCATATTTCGTCTTATTGTAAATATACAGTGAGAAAAATTGCAGTAGCCAAGGCGAGCTGACTGACGTTATCAAGTACGCTGCTGTTTGCAGAATTAGCGGACTTGCGTCGTCCTGTCCAGTCCGAAATTTGCATACTTTGTATTGAGAAACGCGCGCAGACCTATGTCACCAGACTATTTGCCTATTCGTCACGGTACTTTAGACCGCGATGGAAATGCAAACAGCAACAGGTCTGGGGGAAAAAAAGTTCCTGGGACAAATTGTTCCAGGTAATTTCGGTGGAAAAGCGGCTATATATATGCCACCAGAATATAATTAAAAATAGAACAATCAAGATGAAATTGAAGTGCAGACTTTAAGATTTAATTCAAGGGGATGAACAAAAATATAACATAAAATGCTTTGGAATTACATCAATTTTTATACACAGTCCCCCCATTTTCAGGGGCTCAAATGTAATTGGACAAATAAATATAATCATAAATATAATGTTCATTTTTAATATTTTGTTGAGAATCCTTTGCAGGCAATGACTGCCTTAAGTCTGGAGCTCATGGACATCAGCAGAGACTGGGTTTCTTCTTTGTGATGCTTTGCCAGGCCTTTACTGCAGCTGACTTCAGTTGTTGTTTGTTTGTGGGTCTTTCTGCCTTTAGTTTGCCTTGTGCTGCTCAATCGGGTTGAAATCAGGAGATTGACTTAGCCATTGCAGAATATTCCACTTTTTTACCTTCAAAAACTCCTGGGTTGCTTTTGCTCTATGTTTTGGGTCATTGTCCATATGTACTATGAAGCGCCGTCCAATCAATTTTGCTGCGTTTGACTGAATCTGGGCAGACAGTATATCACTATACACTTCAGAATTAATCCGGCTGCTTCTGTCCTATGTCTCATCATCACTAAACACCGGCAACCCAGTGCCACTGGAAGCCATGCATGCTCATACCATCACATTGCTTGTTTCACAGCCACCATGTTTCACAGATGATGTTGTATGCTTTGGATCAGGAGCTGTTCCAAGCTTTCTCCATACTTTTTTCTTCCCGTCATTCTGGTACAGGTTGATCTTAATTTCAGCCGTCCAAAGAATGCTTTTCCAGAAGTGGTCTGGCTTTTTTAGATGTTTTTTTTTTGGCAAAGTCTAATCAGGCCTTGTTTGCACCTTATGGTGAACCTGCTGTATTTGCGCTCTACAGTGAATACTCTCAAATTACTTTAAGCCTGTGTTCATTATATAACTGCAACTTGAAAATGTTTTGGTCAGCAGCTAAAATAATAAAAATTGTGCCTGTGTCCAAATATATATGGACCTAATTGTTAGGTCAATGGAATCCCTGATGTCGGCCCCTCACCATGTTTTTGCAGCGTTGAGCAATGTAGCTAATCACAGACATATCTGTTGATTTCTTGAACACAATGGCCAATCAGAAACGTTTAGTCAGAATTCACTCACCGCTGAGAGCGCCGCAGTTTTTAAGTGCAGTTTTGCATGCTCATCAATCATCTCATGACTAAGTGCAGACGTGATGTAAATAAGAGATTCATTGTGCAGTTTAGAGAGCTTAATTGATTATAACGGAACTTTGTGAGATCGCGATGAATGAAGATGAGCGTGCTTTGGCACTTTCTAGGGTATGTATAATCCATTCAGAATTTGTATGAAACTTTCGTGTTTCGGACACATACACTCAGTGCTTGAAGTGGGCCGGTATGCACCGGTACGCAGTACCGGCATTTCTGTACTTTAGTCTTTAGCGTACTGACACTTCTGACATGTTGTCGGTACTCTGAGTCAAAGCGTCAGTGTCTGGTGGAATAACAGTATATAAATCACATTACCAGGAGGGGGTCACCTCTCATCTCGGCAAATCGCGTGAATGAATGCAAGCGGAGTCGGTCTACCGCAGGGGTTGTCGCTTTTCCACTGTCTGGCCAGTGCGAGCCAGGGCTAACAACGAGCCGGGCGGCCCAATGCTGCGCTTCCACTGTCGGACCAGCGCTACTCTAAAAGCCCTTAACACGCCTCTCTGAAGCAAACGGCACACAACATCATTTCACCAGCGAGGGGATAAATAAATCCCCGTATCGCAAAACGAACTTGACAGAAGCGGATGTTTCGTCCTTATAAAGATTTAAAAAGCCTACAGCATCGATATTTTACCAATGGTTTTACGATTAAAAAAGTTACAGTGACGGTAATTTATTAATTTGTGTCCGAAGTGCGCATCAGTGATGCTAAATCCAACTAATATGTTTAATTATTTTACATAAAATGAGAAAACATACTTATTCAGTCACTTGTTCAGTCACGGCTGCTCCATTTATTTGTAATCACAAAAATGCATAAAACAACTCAGTTAAACCAGTTAAAGGGATACCAATTTTGTCATTAATTACTCAACCTCATGTTGTTCCAAACCCGTAAGACCTCCATTCATCTTCGGAACATAAATTAAGATATTTTTGATGGAATCTGAGAGCTCTCTGACCCTCCCATAGACAGCAAGGGTCCTTACACGATCAAGGCCCAGAAACATAGCAAGGACATTGGTAAAATAATTAATGTGACATCAGAGGTTCAACCATAATTTTACAAAGCTACAACAATATTTTTGTGCGCAAAAAAAAACAAAAAATGACTTTATTCAACAATTTGTCTCCTCCGCGTCACCCTAGCGCCATTTTGGAGAGTATGCTGTTTTGTGTCAGCTGCGTCAGGCGGATATGTTGTTTTCGTTCAAATCAAAGTGTAAACGACATAAACAGCGTATCCGCGTGGTAGGGTTGTGACGGTGAGGAAATTTTCCTACCGGTTAATCGGCGTGTGACAACACCGGTAATACCGGTATCACCGCGTGTCTTGTCCTTCAAAATGTGTGTCCCTGTCATTGGATTGCAATCGGATAAGATGCGTTTGCATATCTAGTCTCAGTATGGCAGCCGTAGTGGATGGATAGGCTACCAAAATGCGAACTAGCGATCTGAAACAATGGCCTCAGCACCCGAAGGGGTAGAAATAAGGTGGCCAGTCGTCCCGTTTTTCCCGGGAGTCACAATTCGTTGTTAATTAACTTAAAGTTAGTGAAGGCATGAACGTGTCAGTATTACATGCATGCCTTCCGTCTTAAAGGGACAGAATTCCTAATTAAGTACCTATCCGTGTCATTAAGTTTCACAATTTGAGTTGAATTACTGAAATAAATTAACTTTTCCACGACATTCTAATTTATTGAGATGCACGTGTAATTACAGCCAGCATGTTTTGACAACAGAAAAGAACCAGGAAGAAAACCTTAGAATGCATAAAGTGCTGAAAGGTTGAGAATTTTGGATTCTTTTTCTATTAAGTGGTTTTTCACATCTTATTCTCCTGCTCTCTCTCTATCTTTATTTTTCACACACATGCACACAAAGCCATTTATGTGAGCAGAAACTTGTTAGTGCTGTCTTGCGATACTACCATCTAAATAGTTTCGCTAGTGAATATCTACCTGACATTTTTCAGCAGCGAGGTGGTAGCACTCCTAAACGTACAGCTTTGCTATTATTAGAGAGACACGACTGCCTAACACTGCTGAGACTCTGCAATGCACACACCTCTCTTGCTCTCGCTTTCACTCTCTACAATAACTCCATTGCAATGGCTAAAGCCTCTGCATGATGTGTTTAAAGCCTGCCGAGGTCAATACCATTCAAACACTTATAGACAGGCGGAGTTGTCAAAGAGATAATCCTAAAACATCTTCCAACTCATGACCCTAAAACACTCACGACAGACAGGGAGAGAAAGAGAATATAATTGTGAGGATACTACCTTTTCTAGTATCTTGGACAGAAATGGGAGATTCGAGATCAGTCTGTAATTAACTAGTTCTTTGGGGTCAAGTTGTGGTTTTTTGATGAGAGGCTTAATATCTAGCCACTATCTATCTATCTATCTATCTATCTATCCTTGTTTTTTTAACTGTTTTTTGACTGAACTCTCTCTGTTTGTTTGCAAATCTGTGTCTCTTACAGCAGGCACCACATATATATTTGGGAGAGACGGTGGTCTGATCACATACACATGGCCACCGAACGACCGGCCAAGCACACGAGTCGATCGGCTGGCGATGGGATTCAGTACTCATCTCAAGGAAGCTCTACTGGTGCGAGTGAACAGCTCCTCTGGGTTAGGTGACTATCTCAAACTACACATTGTAAGTGGACCATTTCTCTATTTTACATAGTATTTTATGGAAATGGAATACAAAAAGTGCATTCTATTATTATACTAAAAATGTTTTAAAGATTAATTTATTGCTGTACTAATTTACACAAGTGGATAAGGCACATACAAACACTACCATCTACAGATCTAAACACAAGTTTAAATCAAGTGAAGCAAGAGATTTTTTTACACTTTCATGCTTATACTGTCTGAAACCACTCTAATGCTAACTTATTTAATATTCACTACATAGTGAATACTACATGTGAGTGTAAATGTGTGATTTCAGACTTAACTGTAGACAGTGCTGTGCTATGTGTATGATTTTATATTGAATGTGGTGTGTACAGGACACTCTGTATTTACAACTGTCCACATCAGAGACAGATGTTACCAGGTGTAAACTGACACACAAAATACTGTTAATGAAACAGCAAACACATGCAAAAACTTTTAGGGAAATGCATAGACACAGTCACATACAAAATTGTTACAGCAGGAAAAAGTATTCATACACACAACCACACACACACAGTGACTTGCATGGGCACGTGTGAAAGTGTCATTGGTTCTTAGTGCTGCAGTGTAGCGGTCAGGTCAACCCTGGCCTGCGGGTGAATGTGGGTTTCGAGAGTTTCACCTCTGCTATAAATCAGATGGCAGCAGGGGCAGATCTGAACAGATGCATAAAATAAGACACATCGGACACAACATCACACACATGCAGCAGCACACATCACACTGAACACATGCAATAACACACATACTGTAACTGTCCTTACACTGCAAGAAAAGTGAGTTTATTTATACAAAACCAGAGACAAAAGAAACAATATTCCAGCTGCTCAGCACATTTACATTTGTTTATTTATTTATTTAAATGCTTTTATTCAAAGAGACTTATAATGTATGTAAGTCTGCAATGTTTCCAAAAAGTGCAACAAAAGCATTAAGGAGGCAATAGCACTACACAGACCTAACAATATAAAGAGTTTCAAACCACACTGTCTTGAAGAGTACAGGCTATAACAGGGAGGGCTTTAAGAAATCGAGAAAGCATAGAAGTTTTTTTTTTTTTTCTCATCTCACACAAGAGATGAGTTTTCAGCTGCTTCTTGAATATTGTCAGGGATTCATCTGTCCAGCTAGGAATATCATTTTGCCAGCAAGGAACTGTGAATAAGCAGTGATATTTTCTGGAAAGTGATTGTATCACGGAGCACTGCTTACTCACTAACTGCAGGCTTCTGGAGGGAATGTAGACTCATGAGATTGTGAAAGCATCAAGCATCAGTGTCTTGAACTTGAACATTTAGTTGTATCAAATTGAAGGCCTTAAAAAGTCTTAAATTGTACAAGAAAGTCTTAATTATGATTTCAAGAGGTCTTAAATTTGGGTACGGAAAGACCAGAATGGCTGAATGTGATGATTAAACTTCAAAAGGCGATGATTTCATGAAATAAACATGAGCGCTGCAGGTTCAAAGTCCGGTGCTGCGCTGCTCTGTGTTCTGCTGTTACCGGGGAAACAGTTCTTTTTTCTACCAAACTCTCCACCTGCTGGCAGAGAATGAATGAGCATTTTCAATAAAACTGTTGTTTTGTTCAGAGTTCAGACCAATGCAAAAATCGACCCATGTTTTTAACCTGCAAACACGCAGAGCTTTAAATGTGAACTGGTGGATCGATAAGAAGGCAATGCATTATAAAAATCTAAACATAGGGGTGTGCGATATGTATGGTCTGCGATAATATCATAATTGTTGTTTTAACGATGTGCGATTTGATATTAAGAGTATATCGCGAAAAGCAAACAACGGTCCTCAGAGCGGGCTGTACCGAATAAGGATGGCAGAGCAAAGTGTGGATGCGCTGTTCTTGACGGACGTTCAGCTTGGACTAGAAAATGGTCAGTTTACTGTTAAGAAACCCACGTCGGGCAAGTCTGATGTATGGGAGTTTTTTTCGTGTGTCATAGACGCATATGGAAAAAAAATTACCCTTGCGCGATGTGATAAATGCCTAAAAGTTTTACCGTTCAGCAGTCACAAGTCTGGAATCTCAGGTTTAAGGCGGCACTCATGCCTCATCACAAACGGGCAACGAGACCACAGAAAATGTGTTGAATTTGTTTGCCAAGACATCCGACCGTATGATACTGTCTCCGGAAAAGGCTTCACACAGCTGGCCCAACATTTGGTCAACACAGCAGCAAAAATAGGAAAATCCGATGTCAGTGAGATACTACCACACCCAACAACGGTGTCAAGAAACGTTGAAATGTGGGCTCAGAGTCTGCGTAGACATGTTGTGGACGAAATCACTGCAACAATATCGAAGTTCAGATGCGCAGTTACAGCAGACATATGGACAGAAACATATTGTAAAACGTCCTTTTTGTCGGCAACCATCCATTACGTTAATGAGCAATCTGAGCTACATTCAAGAGTGCTTTTTACTGCCCCTTTTGACCCAAGCACCTCAAAGACGGGTGAAAACATTCGAAGGCACCTGCTGCAGAATCTCAGCGTGTTTGGCATTGATGCGACAGAAATGGGCAGAAAGACAGTTTTTGTCACAGATTGTGGAGCCAACATGATCAGTGCCTTATGAGGATACACAAGACTAAACTGCACAGCGCACATACTAAACGTGACTCTGTCCAGTGCGTTTGGTCCTGCCGTAATGGGAATGTCTCCAGAGATCGCTGGGCCTCTAACTGATGTTGGTGAAGTTGGTCACATATTTCAAACACTCAGGACAGCAGGGCAAGCTAAAAAAGTCACTGAAACAATCCATAGAGACACGGTGGAACTCTAATTTTGACATGCTGAATTCTGTTTTGGAACAGTACGAAAACATCGCACCTGTGCTGACTGAGAGCAATAATTATGACAAGGTCAAGTTACTAGTATCATTCCTAAAACCCTTCAAAGAGGAACTGACGACTTGGAAACCGACAACACAGCTCCAAGTGCCTCACTGGTTCTTCCATGGTCTGTGCGATTAATTGAACACTGTACATCAGCCACAAAAGACCCTCTGCTCTCTGAAATCGCAACCGTCTGTGTGACACGGCTGAAAGAATTACTGTCAACGGACAGCACTTCGCCACATTCGGTTCACATGCTTTATAAAATAGCAACCTTTCTGACACCAAATCTGCGAGGTTTGAAAATGTTAGATGAAAGAGGGCGACAGGAGGTGATACAGGGAGTCAAGGAGATGATCGAAGATTTAAAGTTTGATACACATGATGAGGATGTTGAGCCAACACCTGCCAAAATGCCTCCTGTTCTCCATAAATTTTCAGATTGGGAGGATGATGAAGAATCATGTAGATCAAAATCACTAGATGTTCAGATTCAGGAGTACAGGACCATGAAACTTGAACTATCAAGTCAACAAAAAGTTTTGCAATGGTGGAATTCACATCATTCCCAGTTCCCTGCCCTGAGCAAGCTTGCAAGATATGTCCTCTGCATCCCGGCCACGAGTGCACCTTCTGAGAGAACATTCAGCCTTTGTGGTTGGATTTTGGAGGAGAGACTTTCGGTACTGAAACCGTCGTCAGTCAGTGACATTCTTTTCCTGCATGGATTTAAAATAATTTGGAAAAAGGTGATTTTGCAAGTAAGTAAACGGTTTTCATTCATTTCATTATTGGCTTACAATTTTGAGATGTCATTTAATTTATTATTAGTTATTATTGTTGTATTTATATATTTTCTTTTGTAGGAGAGATGTTGAAATTGACATCGGGACATTTTTTGTTAAATTGTTAGGTTAAAAAGTGATTTAATTTTGCAATGGCTACAAGCCAATGGTTTTGTTCTTTTGCTTATAATTTTAAATGACAGATGTCTTTTTTTTTTCTCAGCGACATTTTTCTGTCAACACAGTAGGAATTGTGTTTTGAATAAAAATAACAAATAGGCTACAATTTTTGTACCTACATTTTTTTTCCTGCAGCATATTTTCAGTGTTGACAGCTAAATGTTAAAAGCATCTTGACAAGACGAATAAAAATAAATAAAAAAATTTTACAACCTACAATTTTATTTGTCATCTCTGTCTTTCTGTAGTACCCTATTTAAATGTGAGATTCTGGAAATGAGATCTAAATTTAGCGGGAACGGTTGGGTCGGGAAGAAAATTATTCTTAGCGGGCAGCGGGTGAACAAAGAGTGAATATATAGCGGGAGCGGGTGGGTGCGGAATAAAACCTCGCGGAAGCGGGACTAAAAAAACAGTCCCACGCAGACCTCTACTTGATGCCACCTACTGGTGGTTTTAATTTCACATTTAAGGTACCTTTTCATTTTTTTTTTCCATTTCAAACATCAGTTTTTAATGTTTTATGTTTGAAATATCAAAACATTATTTATGCATTTGTAATTGCAGGTTAAAGTATTTAATTTCCCTCAGAGCTGCATTAAACAGTGTGTAAATTCATCTAAATGACACTTCTAATGCCACTTCTGTGTTTCCTCTGCATTGCAAAGATACATTTTGTTGATACTGATTTAATTTGCTTGGTAACAACCCAAATGCAAGAATTTGACTCAAAAGATGGTGCACACTTTTAGAAAAAATGGCTTAAAGGTAAAAATGCCCATAAAACTTGTTGTAAATGATTAATTTCTATTACTGCTGTGAACTGACCAGCACACAGAATATCAAGAATATCAAAAAATTCTTAGCCTCGTATAATTTTTCCTGGCTTAAGGTAGCAAATGCAACTGCCCCCCTTAAGCCTCACAAGCAAAAACCAAAATCTGCACTGTGGCAAAACTCTGATACCCGTCTCCTAAGACAAAACTGCAGAAAGGCAGAACGTAAATGGTAAAAGGACAGGCTGCATATCTCTCTTCAAATGTTCAGAGACTCTCTTACATCTCATCAGACTGCAGCTAATGCCGAGTTCACACTGCACGATTTTAGCCCGATTTTGCTTCGTTTACTGTCTAAAATTAAAAACTTTCTCAC